TCCAAAATGAAAGCAGTTCTATAAAGATGTTTCTTACTTTCTCTTAATGACAGAATTTGCTGTCCCAAGTTCTGACTGTCTTGAGATGGATGTTAAATCATTGAAAGCATTTTTTGTTTTATTTTTTTAGCCATTTTTGTGAGCATTTGGATCCTGAAATACATCACAATTTCAAAATATAATCAGTTTTAATTATTAGCAACCTTTAGTGGCGAGCTTGCTTTTGCAAAACAGGGTTGTGGATACCCAATAACTCAAGACAGCAAATCTAAAACAATTGTGACCCATTAATTCCTACCTTAAAGTTTGTTGCTTTTGTTTTTATTCATCCAGGACTACTATTAGTGAGTTAGTGATGCAGGGTGGACACACCACGTGCAATGCTTCAGTAGCTGGTGCTTTGTTGGGTTGTAAATATGGTTACTCAAAGCTACCCAAACAATGGGTCGAAGGTCTGTTACCCAAACAAGTGACTTGGCTTAATAGAAAAATCAACTCGCTGTTGGACATGATGGCACTTCCTTAGCTTGCTTTCAAGACTGTTACAACTCCTGTGTTGCGTTAACAAAGACTTGTGGTTCCCTGTTCAATCTTTGGAAGTTGACAGTAGCCTTCAAGGCAATAAGATAGTAATGAGTAGTCAGCAATATCATAGGATGTACTTACTTGGCTGACAGTCACGGCCAATAGTGACAAGAATGTTTATTGTCATTAGAACAGACTTAAAATAAGTGTAAAAAATACGTCATGCGCACGATCACGGTAATGATTGGTGACGTCAATCACCTTACTCCAATGATTCTTCCATATGGGTCGTCAGTATCAAATCACAGCTAATACGAATTTTGTTGATAAGGGCAGTGCCATACTTAGTTTGGGAAATGCTAGAGGATTTAGATAGTAGATAATGATTAGTAGAAACTGATATCTTTTAAAGCTGACTGCTGATTGGCGAATTAATTCGTGAAAGTGGACCCTTATCTTTCATCCAATCAATGCTCTCACACAGCACCGTGACGGCACGTTACCGTGAGTTTTTCACAATCATAAAAGATTCGCCCTGCCTTGACGGATAATATTGGAATAAAAAAGGCAATAGTTCTATGACTAGCGTAGAAACGGCGTTGATAATTAGTTCAAGTTGTGCAATGGAAAGTATAATAATGCTTAATATAAAATATTTTTAAAACTTGAACATAGAGTTTTGCGCGCTTTGATTGGTCGAGCGACCAGTGATTATGAGACGGTATTTCCTGAGAAGTGACTATGACTAAGTTTTGCAGAGCTGAAGTAACTCTACTAAACGTTTCCCCCTCTGATATTCAAGTCTTAAATTCTACTAAAACAATTATTCACCTCAAGCTCAGTGAATATGAGGATCAATATTTACCTCATAGCTCGGTAATTATTCCCCAAAATTCACTTCGCCTTCGGCAAATAATTGTTAAATAATCGACTCTGGCAATGTTTTAAAAAAAATTTAATGCGAGATTTCTTACCAGACGATAGATACTGTAAACATAATATTTAGCTTTTGTTAAAAAGATTAGACGACAATAAAATAATTATACAATAAAAGTAACCCTTTTTTCTTATTTCACATCACATTTCAATCTCTTGAGTGTAGCTTTTTTCTCTAATTCGGACGGAGTTGTCACTTCCGGGTCAAACCACGAGATCGAGGCTGTCAGTCCAGCGGTTTCTCCCATAAGCCTAAGTGTTTTCTTTTCGGGTTGCTGTTTTGGGGTTCTAAAAATATATAATTTCACTATTCCATCAGAGTTTACCCCCCTAAAGAATGTCTTTAAATGGATTGAAGCGGATATTCAACATTACACCGGCAAACGCATTTGCTTATTTCGTAGGCCAAACCCCAGACAGACGAATAACTTTCCAATCGTACAACGATATGCTGGAGTTAGAAGAGAAATACACGTATCGAAGACCTGAGTTTCTTCAACTCGATGAAGAGTCGGAGCAAGCATCAGCAGATCACGAGGCTAGACCTATACTTATACCCCACAGAGAACTACCTCTTAATGCCGGCTATGCTGAGTAAGTATCTAACTATATATCTATATTTTAGTCAACGAGAACCAAGAGCCGAGGATATTTTTTCCATCCCCCACACAGGAGCTTTTAGTTTTAATGTATTCAACACCTTCTAGAACAGTTGTGCATTTAAGAAATTCTCAATCAGGCTTTAATACTTTGATCATCGTTTTAAATTATTCCTGGGATTTTTATTAAAAAGTACTAAACGAAGAAAAAAGTCCTTAAAACAAAGAAAATGTGGTATAGTGAATTATATATGAAGCATATAGTGATGTGTACAAGAGTGCAGTATACGATCCACAAGCTTGTACATAGGTTGAAACGTACTGATCCGAAACCGGAACTTAAAAGATTTATGTCTTTTTTGGGCATCATAAGAAATCTTCCGTCAATTAAATTATCTTTAACGAAACTTCGAAGATCAAATATTGGATTATCCTCCTAACTCCGACTTATTGTTTTGGGTATATTGAGACAATGAAGTTGATTTGATTTAAGCTAAACTCATGATTCGTTGTATTGTATATTTGCCATTGCGTGAATCAAACACAAACACAAACATTTCAGGACTTTCTGGTTGCTTGATAATTAGGAAAGTAATGATACTTTATCTTATTCCAGTTGACAAGTTTTCTTTGTGACTTTTTCCCTCTTTATTGGTTTAATTATTTTATCTTTTGCTAATTGCTTGCATTTTTGTATAAATTTGTCAAGATTATTTCAAAATATCATGCAAATTCCTCATTTTATGCTTACATAAACGGTATTTTAAGTTTTCTGCGGGGAGAAATCACTAAAAACCATTAAATATAGGATGTGCAATGAATTCTAAAATCTGCCTAAATTGATGATATTATAACAGCACCTGAAGTAAACTTTACAGAAAATTATACCCTTTTATGTGTTCTTCTATAAGATAAATATATTTTACCGCTAGGACTATAAATGCTGGCAAGACATTGCACAAGAATGAAGACCAAGCACTTGCTGGAATGTTCTGTTTGAACGTTGATCTACAAAATGTGACAAATGAAAACACAGATACAGAAAAAGAAGAAAACACATCTGAGGTGAGATTAGAATTGCACATGGCTAGCACACCCTTTAGCATCCCATTTATATATGGGGGTCACTGGCTGATCTAGGGGGAAGGGTGTGCACAGGAGGTGCAAACCCCCTCACCTCACCCCCCCCCCCCCCCCCCCCCCCCTGAAAAAATCTTGGATTTGCCCATGTGGGTTATGACACTTCTATGCATACTATAAAGATTGCAGTCTGTGATGTACTGTCTTTATATGACTGTCTCTATTTTACCAACTTATTTCACCAATATGGAGGCAAATGTGTCATAGATCTCTCAGACATTGGTAAATATTACAATACACTCACCATTTATCGAAAATCCCATCTCGCTTCTTAGTGGAATTATACAGATATTTTTTGAATTGTGCAATATTTCTGAAATGTGTATGTTAATTTTCTTATTTACAGCTTAGAATCAAGATTCCATATGCCTGTTTTGGTGTATTTGATGGGCATGCAGGGGAAGGAGCCAGTTTAATGGCAGTCAATACACTACATATTCACATCATGGAAAAACTCTCTGCTGTCAAAGACCTTTTAGCCTGTGGGACAGATGAAAAGCTTACCCAGTCTCCTATCCTAACTGAAGCTGTTGTTTCATCCATAACTATTGATAAACTAATAATAGGGGCATTAGAGGAAGCATTTTTTGAAATGGTTAGTAGTACTGCCATTTATTGCCTCATTATGTAATAGATCTGTTTATATTTTTCCATCTCAAACCACGTTTCATTCTCTTGAGAATAAGATTCTTCATTTTAGCTTTATCAGTATTCATGTGATTTCTCATGTGCAACCATTAAACAAAGAAATGATACTCTAGGGAAATTATGACATGGGGTATGAAAATGAGAAAACATTATGCCCAAGGTATAGAGGTCTGTTGTGGTTATAAAACAATCAATTGAAGGCTATCAAAGGGAGAACAATAGCATATGGGTGGCTCATTTTAAAGCTTTATGATTTCATTTATTGGTGGATGTTCTAACCAGGACCAATCTTGCAATTGATAGGATGAGCAAATAAGGCGAGAAAGATTGACTTACAAAATAGATGGGGGATGTACTTCCAATGTTGCTTTATTTATTGGTGAAAAACTGTATGTGGCAAATGCTGGGGATTCCAGGTATTTGAATATAGATGATTATAACACCTATATATGATGTGTTTTGATCACTTTTAGTCTTTTCTTTTCTTTTTGCACACTTATTGTCCAAACAGTATTGACACTGATGAAATGTGAATTAAGACTGTTTTTCTAAAAGAATTTTGATCAGCAATATTCAAAGACAGGTGACTAAACAAATGGAAAAGTTGAATGAAATGGAAGGACGTATCTCTTTTATCCAGTACTTTTGATTCTCATGATTTTATTCCCAATCCCATATTCTCCTCTAATCTCGTGTCGTTTCATCTTTTCCTTACTCCTTTTCTCTCATCCACCTGCCTCCTAAGCTCTCTCCTCCCATCTTTACTCCCCCCTTACTTTTTTCCCTTCCCTCCAGTATTCCACTCCCCTCCCTTCATGTCATATTTACACTTCTCATATATTTATTTGATGCGTTTTCATTATTCAGAGCAATCGTTTCCCAAAAAGGTAAATTGATACCCCTTTCATATGACCACACCCCTGAGACAGACAGACAGAGGTTACAGCTTATAGTAAGTACCAGATAAAGATTCTATTAATCCTTAATTACTGTTATTTGAAAAATAATTTGTATGACTGACTTTTTTTGGTTCTGTAAAGGCTTTTCAAAAACCACAGTTACTGGGTAGTGAATTTGGAAGACTTGAATTCCAACACAGAGCAAGAAAAAAGTATATTGGCCAAAAACTGTTGTACAGAGACAGGCACATGACTGGCTGGTAGGTATCAATTGTCCTATTATAATAATGAAAAGCACTCTTGGAAAGCTGACTTTAATTGAAAATATAGTGGATATTAGCAAACAGTGGCATATGTAGCTAACATCTCTCCCCAGTCCCCTCCATCCATTATTCTTGGAGCACCAGTCTACTAAGAATTTACATAATCCAAATTCATATGTAGTTTTATGTCTATTTGTTTGACATTGTAAAGAGTACTTCATAGCTAGCAATTGTGTAAAGTCAAATATTCAAAAAAAAAAAACAGTAAAAAGGTGGAGCAGAGTGTCCATCAAGAATGTACACTGTCTAATTATTTTTATCTGCTGAGCTGTCTAACACTGTGCTATGTTAACTAGGGCACAAAAAGTGGTGGTAGAAGAAGATACCCAAAAATTCCCCATGATAACAGGAGAGGGGAAAAAGGTAAAGGATGTGCCTTACTGTGCTTTTTGGTGCCGTCAATCAAAAATAATTCGTTACCTTTTATGTTTACGACTGGCCCAATGGAAACCAATTAAAACTACAGTTAGAGCTTTATGAATGGTGTTTGAAAATTGACATACTTTCTTTTTCAGTCTCGACTGTTAGATACTATTGGTACAACAAGAGGATTTGGTGATCATGACCTCAAAGTACCTTACAATGGTTTAGAAATCAAGCCTTTCCTGACTCCTCAACCAGATGTAGGTTACTTATCTCTAGGCATCTCTTTTGCTACCTCTAGGGCACCAAGGGTGGTGGGATATGATATCGATCAGTCAATCAAATGTGTGGCCCTCTAACTATGATACTGGTAGCCCACTTGTCTCTTGCCTCTAAAGTTGCAGGGTGAATAGCTAGACTTGGCATCATATGTGAGCAGGGTTTGTTGTCATTCTACCACAGGAAGAGATAATGATTTCATTATACTGTTTGTCTATCAGGTGAGATCATACGATTTAAAGCAATGTGAACATGATGAGGATGACGTGCTCATAATGGCTTCTGATGGATTATGGGAAAGACTAACAAGTGAAAAGGTAAATTTAAGCATGCCTGACTTTACATTCATTTCTGACCGCATTGCATATTCTTTGTCGTGATTGTGCTCATAACATGCTCATCTTTTAAAGAAATAGTTGCATACAAGAAGCTCCTCAACCAATCAAAACAACAATAGATTCAACCAATCAAAATTGGACAAAGATCCTCTTATGTATGCGCTCTCTGCCCTGTGGAAGTAAATTGGTAAATTTTCCATTTCCTATACTAAAAATTTAGAAAACTTCAGCCTGGAAATAATAAAGCAGAAAAATCACCAGGATCCAAAGGATTTCAACCAAATTCCCCAATATCCACCTTCAGTTAATAATAAAAGAGATCGATAAATAATACCAAAAGAAATAATAAATCTAAATGAACCTATAAATCATGGAAATGGCCCCCTTAAATGATTAAAGTGATTCTGCCAATGCTACTCAGTTGACTTGGCAGTTTGCCGCCACTCCTGCAATGTTCTTGGAAAGAAGGAATACTTATAGTAATCACACTTAACAATTGGTATCTTATATGAATGCTCCTGGCCTAAAAATTCGAAAATGCTATCCTCAAACATTACAAGACATTAACAAACATTAAAAGACATAACTGCAAAAAGGCTCAAACTAATTGTTTTTGCATTTCATTAATAGGCAATAGAAATAGTAGGCGAAGTCTTCAAAAGAACTCCCAAAGATGATAAAAGAAGGTACTGAAATATAAGAATGAATTTTTCACTGGGATTTCCCAGGGGTAAGGGGGCTGTCAATCACATTGCCCACAGGAATTGTCCCATTGTTCACCCTCCCTCGAACCCAAAATACTTGCATGGTCTTTTATTCCTAATTGTAAGAAGATGGGAAGGGATGACAGACACAGGCTCCCTATGATGGCCTTTTATATTCTTTTCGCCCCTGAATAGCATTGGTCTTATTTATTAGTTAAAAACACATGCATCTTTCACGTTTACTCCTTTTTTCCAGATACGTCGTAGCTGCACAAACCCTCATTGCTGAGGTGAGAGGAACATTAAAGGATAGGGGCTGGAGACGAGCGTGTGGTGATGTCGGTTCCTATGACGACATAACGGTATTTGTAATACCGCTGAACAAAAGTGTATCGGAAAGAATCACAAATGTCCACAATTCGTCATGAAAATCCCAGAATTGATGCATAACGTGCGTATGAATAGATACATAGATAAATATATATCGGATGCATAGAGTCTGTCTATAGTAAACATTGAATATTGCACACGCAAAAAAAATATTTGAATTTATGGTAAAGCTAATACAAAAAAAAAGCTACTGAATGGGTTTCGGCATTATTTCAAAGATATGGGCGAAAGGGATATATATGGATTTCTTTAGCTGCTATCCAATGTGTAGTATTCAGTATCCAGAGGACAAGATTGGCTCTGTCTCTGATAGTATAGACCAAATTCAAAACTCGCACCGATGTGAGGCTTAAGTTGTGAACAAAGGGATCTGGCGTGACTCAAAGTAATCTGGCGTGATTCAAAAGTCACGAATCACGCCAGATTCCTTTGTTCACAACTCAAGCCTCACATCGGTGCGAGTTTTGAATTTGGTCTATGATATAGATATTTTAGTTTCTTTCTTAGGGTAGTTTTAATGTCCCAAGGCGGTCCATTTTTAATTAAGTCATGTTATAAAACTCCCATGCTTGTGACCAAGCAAAACCTACTTCCATACGAACGTCCGAATGTCATCCGATATCACCCGAACGCGGGACCGTCATACTCGACTTTCCGATAAGCTCATATTAAAATATTGAGAAGCCTCATGTTTTTGTAAGCAATGTACGAGGACTTACGAATCATTTGCATAAACCTTCTTCTTAAAGGCATTCTTTTAACCATGACAGAACAAACAGTGTTTAAAAGTCAGGGATGGTTTTAATAGCTAGGTACGATTGTAAAGAATACAAGGGTAAATACATTGAATGATTGTGAATTGATAAAATGTTAATTAGCTAGAAATATTTGAACGTTTTCAAATAGCGAATCAGTAAATCCATTATGTACATATAATAGACCTAATTGCCATCAATGAGCAGTTAATGGCTCGTTAGTATCTCAACAGGGGATATTCATTCATGTTCAAAGGCCTCTTTAGGGGAAAGCTTGCTGTATTCTAGTCCATCCTCGGGAACCCAGGGCTGGGGGTAAAATTCTGTTGCTCGTTTTTGTTTCCAGAAAAAAAATTTACCCCTGAGTTGCCGAGGATGATTCCTAGTCTAGCTTGGCTATCTTTCGTTGTCAGATTCTGTTTACACCCAAGCTAGACCACAATGCACCTCGTTTATGAAATGCCTGTTGCTAAAATCCAGAGTAGAGGATAAATTAAATTTATTAATGATGAAAACTTAATTATATTATTAAACCAACAATCATACTGTGAATAGGCTGCAAGGAAAATTAATAAAAATTCCAGGAGTAAAAGGTGATCGTTGATTCTTTTGCTGAACTTCGAATGAAACACTTTACCTTGGTCGTAATGTTCTTTCCATTTCAGACCACGTGAGTATCGTTTCTTTATGGAACGGTTGCGCACGAGAAGACAATCGTATATACAACTCAAATAATCTCATTTTCACCCAAGGTAATGAGGTCTTTTAGAATGATAGAATGATATTAAACCTCGGCTCCGTCTAGAGGTAGTGGGTATTTGTTAGTCAACCTTAACCACGCATATGGCTGGAGCTTCGTAGGACTAAGGTAACACAAGGCACTTGAATAGGCTGCTTTAACCTCAAAAAGACTAATGACAAGAACGCGACTATTAATACAAGGAGTGAGTAAAACCTTACGTTGTCAGTTCAGGAAACAAAGAAATGAAAACTTAAAGGTAACACATTCATTTGTAAATAAACAAGATGTGTCGGGCCCTTTTATATAGCACAACCAACACGACTGCCAAACTTTGTCTAAATTCAGTACTTGTCTCATTCCGAGAAAAGTAAAATGGTGCCAAAATTCCTTACTTGGGAGGCAACACATGCGCAAATTGCCTCGGAGGTTGCCTCGAAGCTCGTGATAAAATTGATATTTGGTTTGGTCAAGAATCCTCGTAATCTCTTGGTTTGGTTTGGCCTGAAAAATACGTCTTTGCTAAATTATATCTTAAAACTAAAAGCGTTCAAATCTTAAATCTACCAGTTTTATTATGTGGACACTCCAGCCTGTACCAGCTGTGAAAACTTGAAGGGGGTATGATTTATGTTTTCATTCTATATCACTGTATGATGGTGGCTCGTTAATTTCTATCATAGGTTTGTAAGTCCGCACAAGAGAAATACTAAAAAGACCTTCTTAACTCATCTGTTTTTTTGTTGTTGTTTTTTGTTTGTTTTTTGTTGTTTTTTTTTTTTGTCGTCGTTTTTAATTATGTAGTAACTTGGGACCATACCTCCAGACATCGAGTGCTGAAGCGCAGTATGGCAGGGCGAAGCATTTACGGCTATGCCAGAGATTTCGGCCCCGACACCACTATCCATAATGACTGATCGGGGAGCTCGGCCGAAGACTAAGGGTGAGGTTAGTCGGCCCCTAAGCCATGTATGATTAACCCCTTACTATGAACAGTGGATTTCGTAAAGTTTCACCGGTGAGTGACTTCCCTATGGTCCACTTATTCCATGTGGGATGCGTTTTGAATGTTTTACCAAGTCAGACATGCGCATCAAGTGCATGCATTGAATTTCAGATTTTTGGATTCCGATTCCCTTCCATCTTAGTTCTCATCTTCTTAACTCTGATTCAGTCCGCGCTTGTGTCTAATTTTGTCGGTGGCGCACGAAATTCCGATGGCTGGAAACATGAGCCCGTACTACACCAAGCTTGAAGCATTCGTTGGAAATATGGCGAACTTAAATTTCTGCGGGATACGGAACCCTAATTTTCCTACTTAGATTCGTAATCTGATTATCTTTGAATTTTTCTCTTTCCAAACTATCAAAGCTGGATCATTACTCACATAGGGCTTTACATTTTATTCTAAATATAAAAAATAATTGTCGAAAAAATATTTTCTTAGTTCAGTTTTTGTTCAGTTATTTTTCTAAGAGTACAAGGTAGCCAGGCGGAGAGATCTTTTCCTTACGGCCCATCAAGATGGTGGCCATGTTCAGCGAAACTTATATATAAGTTTCATTTTATAGTTCGGGCAGACCAACAGTAGGAAAAGAAAATGATCGCATCAAAACTAAAAGAACATCGATATATTGCATTTATTGATTTTTAATTAATCGCTTGCATCGTGAGTTTTTACAATTTTTTGCTGTATATCTGTTGACATATAGATAGAGATAGACGCCATCTTTGAAACATGTCCCCTAAAACAGTCCCACAATGCATTGCAGTGCTAACTCGTTCCAGGTTTTTCTCGACTTCTTAATCAGCTAAAGCACGTCTTGTGTTCTTTTTAGATAACGAATAAATTCCTCTTCAACAAATGCAGCTGTCGACACTATACCGTGTATTGATATTATTGTGATCTTCTTCGGAATGAATCTTCCATTCTTTTATCATCTGATGAAACTAATAAATAAAATGAAGCAAAAAATATTACTGAAATGGCTGCCCGTTAGTATTTTGTGTTAATTTCTTGGTATTCCACTTCGCAGAGGTTTACCATGGAATACCATAGGGGGTGTATTAGTTGAACAACAGTAAATAAATATATGTCATTCAAAGATTATAATATAGTAAAAATAATAATAACTTTATTAATGTCTCGAAATTCTTCTAGCCGGGCACAAGCGCCCTACTATCGATCTTAAGTCTAGCTCAGGGGGAATCGCTTTTTT